TGCCTCCATTTGTGACAACAGAGGAGGGAAACAATGAATGATGATCAGAATTTAAATCTCTGTGGTGGGGGGGTTCTCGTCCCCAGGCACATCAGGGTAGTTTCTTTACCAGTGCTTGAGATGTGATGAATGGCTTCTTGTTGCTGCTGCTCTGCTGATACAGCCAGCAGCAGAAAAAAAAAAAACTTTCCCGAGAGCAGAGCTGCGATAATTAGTCGATTAATTCTGTGATTTGCTAGTTTGGGCTTCTCAAATGTCTGGATGAGATGCTTTTCTTTGTTCTATTTATCAGTGGTGGTTTGGACCGCTGATTGTATAAAGATGGGGGAAATTAAAAAGGCCACGTTTCACTATTTGCTTAAATTTTTTTTAGTTATTATTTTGTTAATCGGAAGCTTTATTGCTCATTGAAATAATCCATAGTTTCACACCATTCAACAGCTACTCACTGAACAGTAAACTAAAACGAACCGTACGCTTTAGGCTATGGAGGCTTATCGGGGGTCTCGGGGCTTCTGGCGTCAATGTTGACTATGGTGAAATGTTTCTGGGAACAGCCGGAATTCCTTCACCAGGTCACCGTTTCAAGATCCCTCAACATCCTCCATTAACCGATGTGTGAACTGCTACAGCGCCAACCGAATGTTTAATGCAAACACAGGAAAAGATGAGGAGGGTCACGCTTTGAAAAGTTCTGGACGTGTCGGCAAGATCCTGTGGCGTGTTTGAGATAAAGCACATGTTGCAAATGTGAGTTCTGTGTCATGACAACCTCTCTGTGCACACCGGCAGCAGAAACCCTTCATGGAGCTTCAAACTGTCTGACGTGGCACCATCCGGGCGCATGCAAGGAACGCCAAGCCGTGACAGTTTCAAAGCTACGAACGCTGCAAACTACAAATCCACCGACGTGATGAACAGCGGGAAAGGGAAACGAAGTGAATGGGCGCAGCAGCAGAACAATGTGACTGTAAAGTGGCGGCAGAACGAGAGGAAACCCAGTCAGTTTGGTGAATCACCTCTTTTATATATTTGTGATGAGAGTTAAGTTGATGTCGTGGATTAAACGCTTGTTCGGATGTCATCTTTTATTCTGACATACCGAAATTATTACTTCACTAGCCTCTCTTCTCCTTTCTTACATCATAACGCATCATAATACTTTTGAAATGCTCCCTGGCTTTCCCAGCAACCTGTTACGTCCTAACATACGAAGCATTTTTCCGCCAATATCTTTTCCCGCGAGGCGTTTCGGGTGAGTGAATATTCCAGTCATTGCTCTTGTCATTTCCCTCATGACAAAAGGCTAAGCAACGCAAGCCTCGTTTCTGACATTTGCATAATCTCCCCGTCATCCCTGAGCTGCGTGTGAGCGTCCTTCTCCTGCTCCGCTTCCACCGTCATTTAAGAAAGGTCTAATTAATCACGATGTGAAACCATCCATCCAACGTGTGTCAGATTGGAGAAAAGAAAAGAAAAAAATCGTTGTGGTTGAAATGGATTGGATGCACATTCCTCCGAGACTTCCACTTCAAAGTGTGCCACCACCCGAGTCTGAAACATCCACTTAATTTGATCACATGCAGCGATGTAATGGGAATGCCGCAGGAAAAATAAATCATATCGCACTGCTTTTAATAAGGTGAGAAAAAAGAAATGGCCTTGATTTCCTTGAGGAAAGAACCCTCTCTAATCTCTAACACTGGAGGCACAGACAGCAGCTTGTCAGCGAGAAGCACAAGCTGAAAGAAATCCACCGACGGAGCAACATGTGGATCAAGGCCAGGCTGCGTTTCAACGGTGACATCATACTGAAAGCGCGTTTCACCCCTCTTTTCTTCTCATCATCTTCCATTATGACACTGCAGCCGTGACCCCAGGGGGCGGCGTGATGGAGGTTACACAATGGGAACGATCCCAATGGAGCTACAGCGCCGGTCGGATGCATTCAGTCGGGCCGACGGTTTGCACAACCTTTAGACGAGGGAGAGAACGAATGACGTAGTCGGGGAGAAAGCTCTCACTTATCAACTAGTTTACTCTCACTGGAGACGCACATGAGGCATAAATGGTTGATGTTGGATCGTGCGAGCTTCATTTACAGATCCCGTTTGCCCTCGTCTCCGGGTGTGTGCCGGCCCCGGAATTGTTTTTTTGCTTGCTGAACGGTGTCATCATAAGAGTTTTTCGAACAGCGACGTGTCAGTCGTAATTAGCTCCGCCGCGCGGCCGTTCCCGCGTGCGTCTGTGACTGAGAGCGACTGTGACAGTGTGGGTCCACGCTTCCGTGACTGAGTGACTGAGTGGGCGAGCGTGCACCTCTGTGTTTGTTCTCTAATCTCGCATCTGTGCTGCAGCAAACGGCACAATATTTTGGAGAGTGACGCATTCCCTCTAGTGAAACTTTCTACTTTCAGCTGTAGTTGCCGGCGTGTCTCTGAAAGCGCTCACAGCACATAAAGCTGCACGTATTCTTTCATCAGGAATTCTCAATACTGGATCAATAGAAACTTTCAGAAAATTCCCACAAAAGATGACCTCCAAACGGTACACCTCCTGCAGACCAAGTATCAACAGGATCTACGCAGAAGGTATTTTTAATCACAGAAAATAACAAGCGAGTTGGCGGGTAACAAGGCAGCCGTGTGAAAAAAAATTGGAGGATGTTAATGACATATGTTGACACTAAAGCATCACTGGATGTTATATCTATGTGTAAAAAAAGAAAAAAAAATGTAAAAGAAGAAGCTGTCAGAGTTTAATTTATGAGCCGCTACATATCTCTCTCATTTTGTAATTGTCACTGTCTGTATCATCAGTATGAGCACATTCAAACGCTCACCCCTACATGACTCATTCTCCAGTTTTCTCCAGTTCTTTTTTTTTTTCCATTTCTTTTTTAGTGTTTCTGTACGTTTCTCTTACTTAGATTTACATTGTAAAGCAGCTTTGGGTACCCAGAAAAGCACTATAAAAAACAAAAGTATTATTATTACATTGTCTTTATTTTTTTTAGTTTAAACACCTTTAAACATTTTTTTTACAGTGGAGGCTAAAAGTATGCCGTATTTCCAAGATAAAAAAACGAGAAGGAAACATGCCGGCCCGTCTCGTCTTAAAGGTTATTTGCCATCTCGTCTAAGATATCGACTGCCCTCGTGTCAAGCCGTTTCACGTCCAGCCGCCTCCTCTCAGTCTCCACTTGAAAGCCCAGTGAGCCGGGATCAAATGGTATCGGACTCTCTTGTGTCATTAAACTGCACCCACTTTGTGAAAGAGTTTATTTGACCAAAAACAGTCTTCGAAACATCCTGCAAACATTGGGCTCTGTGGAATGTCAAAGCCATCTGTATTTCATTGGGATTCCCTTTTGAGGAAGCAAACGGACAGGCAGTAAAGCTAAATGGATATTTGAAGTGAGGGCATACTTTGGATGCATTTGGGTATTTTTTTACCTCCAGCTAGACTTTAACAGAAGCATTAAATTGCAGGACGCTGTGAGGAAAAGGCCGAAATTTTAAAAAAGAATATAAAAGCCTCTCTTTTGATTGTGATGTAAATTTGAGTGAATGGTAGCACCTGCCGCAGTCACACATCTCTCTCTCTGTAGGGCTCTAGTTCTAAGTAAATATCTATTAAAAAGCTTGGCGTTTCTACCAGTTTGATAGTTGTTTTTTCTATTTAATTCACCAACTAAATGTACATAGATTTAATCCAGTTTCAACAAACGCAAAGCTGCCATTCAAAGCTAAAAACCCATTTAGCACACAGTGAAAACAGGAGCAGTGTGACATTAGGTGGGCGAGACTGCTGCTCAGCACGGCCTTCGGCTGCTTAATGAGATGGAACGCTTGGCCGGTTCTGATCCGGCTGTTTTATTATGTGAGCAGACAACCGCACAACCCATTTAGCGGCCAAATACCTGTGGCTTTGGTTTTGACGGAGCCGCCTGCTCGTCCTCAGCGTCTCTGTCGTGTAATCGATCAAAGTCGGAATGAGTGGAAGGGACCCGGGAATCGCAGCGTGCAGAAGACACGACGCGCGCGGATGTTTGGAAAACGATCGCTCTGACAGATTTAAAGGAGCCGCAGGCCTGAAGACTCGACATATATTTTTCTAAATGTTTGCCATCGCGAGGAGGCCGGCCGCGACAAAACCCGACGCCCGAAGGCCCCCCGGGGGACGGGGGGCGGGGGGCGAAGCAAAGATTCAATGCAGACGTCATCGAGGTCTCGCTGTGTGGTTGGATGAGGAAGAGGGAACGAATAGTTCATGGATGATCAACTACCGCTCATGTTGTATGTCCGTTCCAACCTCTAAATCGGAGTGGTCCTGTGTGAGTAATAATAATAAGCCTGATGCCCCATCACGTGTCAATAAGGACAGCGATTACCGTCACTGCGTGGTTACGGCTGCTGCGGGCGTTTGCATTTACTTCAGCTTGTCAAATGTTAACTCGGGGGGGGTTTGCATTTCAGACTTTTGATGGTGAGTTGACAGATATTTAAAGCAATTCTAAGGCGTGTGGGGGTTCAGATGTGACTTCAAAGGGCTGAATGGCTGAAGAGCATCAGCTCTAAAGCTCATGACTCTTACGTTTCATCTTATTGTACACTATATGACACTGTCCCACTGCTGGTTACCCCTATTTAATCCTAAATCCGAAGGCAAAACATAACTATACTACTTTAATTATACACATTGTATTATACACTTTATGGCATAATGGTTCCTGTTTGGATGTTTTTACATCTGGCTTGTTTACACTTTCACTGGTTTTCATCTGGAGCCACAGACTCAATTATTTGAGTTTAACCTTTCAGACACATCTGTATATTACGGCATTTTACACCATTAAAGCAAAGATTTCAACAGATTTCAACAGAAAAAAAGCTCCAATCATATTGAAACTGTCATGCTGGGCCCTGAGTCCCTCACTACATGGGCTGTTAGGCAAACGGACAAACTGGTCTCTCCCTCTCTCTCCCTCTCTGCAACAGTCTCCACGACGACCGTTGATGGGCTGCAGCTTCGAGCTGGCAGGAAGGAAAGGGACGCGATGGCACAGAGAGTACTGGACACGTCGGTAGCGATTACACATCGGTCCACAAAGGGTCAGGGGTCGGGACTGAGCGTGCGCCCGGTGCTCCCCGCGATAAACTGAGTGTATTCCCAGCAGTGCACGGTGCCATCTCCTCGTGGTGCTCGGGGGTCTGCTCTCTGCAGCCCCACCTTCACACTGTCAACGCTACGGAGCATCGCCAAATACGTCCCTAAAGAGACGAGCAAAGTCACATTTCATGGAAAGGCTGAAGAGGGCTTCAGGTTAACCACATGACTATTGTTTGAACAAGCATAATAAATACATTTTCAATGCAGTCCACAGGCCCTGTGCCTGTAAAATATATTTATTGACCATTATTGACCTCTAAAGTAAATAAAAAGAACTTGTCTGCTGGCACAAGGGGAGCCGGGACAGGAGTGAAATGCGATTAGCTGCACACACGTTGCACAACAGAGTTGTTTACTCATTCCTCTGCTGTGGCGGACTCGACGTTCTCCGGGACGGAGAGAACAAGTGACTTCTGTTTCCCTAGTTGCTGATGCAAAAAGAAAAAACAGCCCTGTGTTGCGTGTGGTTGTCAGAGCAGTTCCTCTCACGTGCCCTAGAACATCGCTGCATTGTGGTCAATGGAATTGTGGAGAGACTAAAAACGTGATCTGGTTAATATTCAATTCCTTTTTCAGCCCAGTGAGCTATTGCATCATATTCAGTTCATCCAATCTACGTCATGGTTCAAATTTAAACAGGATCCCTCTGCAACCAAAAAGCAACATTATCATCAGGTCCAATGTACCACCAACCTAAATAATGAACATTTCCCGGATGAATCGATGTGTTTATATGCTCCGCCTGCGGATGTTTTCAGATCTCCACAGCGGGAAGCCCTCCGGCATCCGTCCAAACAGACTCTAGGGCGCTCGGAGAAAAGACTCACCGTCCTCTCGGGACTTCTGAATGAACGCGTCAACGCCGCTTTCGCCGTAGTTCCCCTCGGAGGCCACCGTGGAGACGTAGTTCCAGCGCATGGCTTTGACGATGTCCACCATGGCCTGGGCCTGGTAGGTGTCCGGGGGCACCACCCGGGAGAAGAAGTCGTAGCGGGTGTTATCGCTCAGTTCCGGAGCTGTGGAGGCGTAGCTCACCTGAGGGATCTACGGGAGAGGAGGAGAGAGGCACAGTTACTTTGTGTGAGTGACGAACACCTTCGGTTCCTTGCAGCGTCCCGTACAAACGCATGACTGTAATACGACAGCTAACATCTGCTGATGGTTGTTCCCCCCCCACCCCCCCTCTGCTGCTTTAAATAGTCCTGACGAGGCTCAGCTGAAGCACACTTTCCCCTCCAGTCGAAGCCACACTAAGCTGCTGTGTGACTTTTAAAGAACGTGATGATTTGCCTTGGAGCTTCATTAATACCCTGCGTTCTAGTCACAAATCACAGAGCCTTTATTGTTTAACGTCAAAGGCTACATAAATAGGATTATTGTGTTTTCTGCAACTGGTCCTGATAGAAGAGCAGGAAGTGAGGCTTATTGGAGGGATCGCAACAGCGTTGGATAATCTCGATGTGGTTATCGATTGATATTATCCTACATTTCTTTAAGAAATGCATTGAGATGTTAAAACGGCTTTGCTGATGTTTGGAAGCAGCTCCTGAATGTCGCAGGAGACTTTTCCCACAATGAGCAGGTTTTATTTTTGTGACTTGAAATACCTGCACCTTACTGGTTGACTCCTTCAGAGGGAAAGTGGTTTTAGTCGCTATCGAATCTCAATTTTTTTGCTCGCTCAAATTTCAGACTTATGGCCATCGTATATCCTGTGATCTTCATATGGCTTCGGCACTGCACCGTTTAGAAGTAAACTGACCAGATTTTATGACTTTCAATAATGTATTTAATGCTCTAAGTTTAAATGTGGACATAGATTTCCTGCTGGTGAATCTTTCCTCACTCTCCAGGGTTGATGGAGAAGGAGTCTGCTGAGGCCTCTTTAAACCAGAACAGAGCTGGTTTAAATGAGCACGTCCAGCCTGGTGTTACAGCCGAGCAGCGCTGCTAAGACTCACGCCTCTTACACGCGTCTCTATCTCAGGAATCAAGTGTCAATTTTACACTCGAATCACAAAATAATGAAAGTGAACTGAAAGAAAAGAGAAATGCTCCTTGGTATCGCATAGTTTTTGTTTAGTGGACTCCTTCAATACAATTTAAAGTGAAGCAAACACTTTTTTCAGAGAGAAATAAGGACTTTTTCATTCCATGACTCACACTTGAATAAAATGTTTCTCATCCTTTCCTAATGCTGTTTGTCACGGTATATTTTCACCTTTGAGCATCCCGACTGAGATGAGGGGGGGTGGGCATAGATACTCTGTTTAAGAGACTGAAATGCACTTTGAAATCAATGAATGAACAAATGTTCTGATATGGTGAAAGGTGTATAGTCACCTGACCTCTCCAACGCTACAGAGTAGACTTTACTAACATCGACTCCTCTCTGCAGAGGGGCCCGCTGTGGGCCCCCCCCCCCTTACCCTCAGTTTGCCAACTTCCCTCCCTTTTACATCTACGTTTCTCTCCCTCTTGTCACCACTAACAGCGTGAACTCGTGAATTGTTTTTTTCTTCTTGCACTCCTTTGACGTCAGGCGGGATGTGTTTTGCGAAGGTGTTAATAATGTCTCTTTTTAGACGACTTCACTGTTCTAAAGCACCCGGCAGCTCAGTAACACATGCTTGTTTTGCACCTTTAATTTATTCCTCTTAGATATGGTTATATTTAGTAATTTTGCAAAGTGTATAGAGCCGGAAAGGACTCCGGCAGCTATTTTCTGTGCCAACCAGCTGCATGATTGGAACTCGTCCGTTATCACCGTGGGTTACAGTGGCTGTTCCAAATTATACCAGTTTCTGCATTCTTGTAGTTTTGTACCTTGAAAATGGCTTTTTGGAAAATCTTTTGTCAGCAAAATGAAGCAATGCGCGATACGTATCTAAGTAAGTGTGTTTTCCCCTGATTTGAAAATCTCTCCCTCCCTCGGAGAGACTCCCTCTCTCTGGTTCGTGGTGTTTTTAATGCCGCTGCTGTCATGTACCGTGGTGACGCCGTGACCCGTCGAGCCCCGTATCTACCAAATAAGCGAGGGTTTGCGGTGGAGTTTTTTTTTTACCTGAGAGATTTTCCACGGCTGCGACAATCACACAATTTCAGCTTCCTGTCCCCAAAGCGGGACAGGCAGAGCTTATCGTGTGTTTTTGCTGGCGAGATTTTCCCGCTCACTGGACTACGGCGATAGTGCTTCCTCTGATGGAACGCAGTCACTCCGTTTGCGTCAAGAATTCGATTCCTCAGCAAAGGCCTCTCGCTGATCCCGCTGCAGAGAATGAAAGGAGGCCGGGATTGGGAGGAAATGTTCCTGTGATGTGTGTTGTTCTTCGGGAACCCCTTTACTTCATCCAGAGTGTAACCATTCACTACGTCACACCCCCTTCAAGATTATAGAACTTCTTAAATCACACCAACCGTATCAATGTAATTGCTAATGGGCTTGGGAAATGTGCTTAATTGCTGTAATGTGAGTTTCAAGCAAATTGATGATGCAGATTTGACGTTGAAATTGCTTGCTCTAAATAACTGTGGCTTTTAAAAAAATTCAATGAGCTCATTTGGCAACATGTCAATGCGAGAGTAATGATGCTCATTACAAGTGTACAGAAATATTGTACATCTGTACTGTTTGCTGTGGGGGAAAAAAAATCCAAAGCTTTAGTCAAGCTCATGAAACAGTCCGCTAAATACTTCCTGCAAGTATGTTAAGAGCAGCATCTATTCTATCATCTGTAAAAAACAAACCGGAAGTTTTGAGTGGATTGACTGTAATTTGTTCAGAGGAGACTGAATTCAGAGTGAAGTTCTACATTCATTACGTGGTGCACAATTAAGTTCGAAAGAAGTTAGTCTTTTGGTGTTTAAAGGGGCTTGTGTAGCCGTGGTTTTCTACGGAAATATCTAGAGAAAGTAGAGAGAGAAGAATGAAGATGTGGATGAAGAGATGATCAGTGGGAGGAAGCACTGGGCCCTGATGTGATGAAGACTGGAGGGGAATGCGGAGGAGGAAGTTCGCATCCATTTGTACAAAAATGACAACTGACAAAGGAAAACTTTTTTTTTTAATCCTAATTTTTACCTACTCTGAAATAGGAGCTTCCCCAGCGATGAGCTAAACAATGGTGCTCCTGGCGAACTGATTGATCAAACTATGTGTTGGAGAGAATTCTTATGTGCTTTTTCTTCTTTTCAGCCAGTCGACAGTTTCAGCGTTTGCGTCGGTTAGATCATTTGTTTCTGCCTAGAAAAAAAAAAGGTTTGTGACTAACTGCAGAAGCAATCTGCTGAGTCACGGAGTGCATTGAGCTCTTTTGCCCCATTGTTACTGCGATCAATATGGTGTGACTAAAGTGAACAATTGCAAGCCCCACACAGATGATCCGACCTCTGTCCCTGCAAGGTTTCACCATGGCTAACTTCATATTTCACAACATTCCCTGCACAGCACCCTCTAATATCCCCTCTACCAATAAAAAGCTTTTTGTAGTATGAAACTCTCGGATAAACAATACAAAATAGGTGAAATACTGCAAATATTTTGCATCTAAACTATTCTTTCTGGCTGCGATGGAAATTTGCGACAGCAGCAGCTGCCCCATTTTTCATAAAAGGTTTGAATGAGATCTACGCAGGCGGAGGAATTGCTTTGAACTCATTTATGGAGTTTCCTTTCGACAAAATGCTGCTAGTGAATTTGAGTTCCCTCTGGTACACAGTTCAGCGGTTTCTATGTCTTGGGCTCTTATTGTGAAAGGTGAGAATGGAAGGAGGGCCTTTTGTTGAAGGTTAACAAAGGAGTGAGAAGGGTTACCATCTCGGTCCGAAGCGCGCAGCTTCTGTGTTGTCGGAATATTGAATACTGTTCCGCACAATGGGATTGGTGGATGCATTTGTTTGACCTCAGAAAAGTCAACCTTGTTTCGGATAGATGTATATTTTGCTTTCTTCGCCGTGCCATTTCGGCAAAGACAACAAATAAACCATCCAAATTTTTTTATTTAAGCGTCAATGCCACTCACTGACTGCAATCCGTCACGTGGTTATGAATCAATAACCAGCCTTAGTACAGGATGTAATCCCTGATTCATTGTGTCAGACCGCGTCTATCACGGTCATATAAAACTACTCTATTAACCGATAACTTCACAGGGCAGCGAGTGTCCCTAAATAAAAAGAATTGTGTGTCTTCTTACTCATTTTTATATCAACTCTATGTAATAAAGTATATTCTTGTCTAATATTGTAATTTTTAAAATGTAATTTAATTCATTTTTACAAAGAACAACCCGAAGGCTTATCTGTGCTTTTTTTCGACCTTCCCCCTTGACAAAAGTGCTGCGCCGCTCTACTTTCTACTACAACTTCTTTTGGACGAGTGAACCGATCGCAGGCTTCATCTCCCTGGCAGCTGACGGAGTAAAGAACATTCTCTACAACTAATAGTCCCAAAACTGTGTATTAGATGATCTCCGACATGAAGGCAACTACACGATGCTGAGTTGCATATTGGAGATATTCCATCCACGCAGCTGTTTTGAAGAGCGTAGAGAGTAAAATGTGAAAAAGCACATGAATGCTGTCGGTAGATTGAAGTTCAGTGCTCGCTGATGTGCAAGAGAGAGAGAGAGAGAAAGCGCATAATGCAGCATGAGCTCTCACTCAAGTGGCTGCTCTGTTACGGACAAGGACTCAAATAGTTGTTACTCTTTAAAACCAGAGAGTGTGCGACGTCGCTCAGATTTTTTTTTGCAATGTAAGCGCACTTTTGAGTGTCCCTTTGACCAGTTGACAGTCCGAATGACTTTCGATGACCGTTTGATGGACCTCAAGCCGGAGTGTCACCACTTTACTGCCAAAGATTGGACTGAACTCGCTTTGGATCCATATAAATAATGAATAAAATATCACTGCTTTGCCATTTTAAAAAATCATCATAATTTGCAAACTCAACATTTGAGGAAGCTGAGGGGTACATTTTTCAATTTTCCGTGTATTCAGAAGACTTTAAAGGCCCCACGGAAAGTGTGACATTACTGGCAACA